CAAGCGATCGCTTGCCGAAAAAAGAGAAAGCGAGTGATATGTTATATCCGTCGCTTTTTTGACCAGATGTGGCGATTGGACTTGACAGAGTAAGGAGATAAATAAATACACCAAATAATAATACAAGCGGCGTTCTTTTTTTTTGGTGCATATCTTGAGCTCAATGATGGACTGGACCATTGCCGTGCTCGGGGATCGCCTGCACCACCGCCGTGCTTTCGGAACCTGTCTAGACCACTACCATGCTTGGGGATCGCTCGACCACTTCCGTGTGCTCGGGATCGCCCGACCATCGCCACGCTTGGGGACTGCTCCACTCTTGATGTGCTCGGGGACCGTCCCGACCAACGCTTTCTTCGGAGATCGTTCTTTTTGGCTACATGTGATTTGTACTCACATACAGGTGAGAGAGACATTTATTTAGACCTTGCTACAAGGCTCATACTTCTCCTTTCAAAGAAGCTCGGGGACTACATCGATGCGATGCACTGCCGGTGCATCTCGTGTTGCTTATACGACAATTGGGTTCTCAACTTAATTGGGAATTCTTTTCGCACCACGGCACCACGTGCCTCGTCCACCTACTACCGTGCTCGGGGGACTAAGTGGGCACACTTCACCTTGCGGTGAATGTGTTTGTTTTTTGACCCTCACGCCTCGATGATCAAGGGCCGCTACGCTCCAAGACGCACTTACATTTCGCTCGTAAATACAAGTGGGCACACTTCCCGTGACGGAAATCTTTTTTTTTTTCTTAAGAGCACCATATATTCTTGGACAACCTACTTCTCCGGCGACAACGGTGGTCGAGAGGCGTCAAGGATTCAAGCCTTACTTGTCGGAGAAGGTTAAAATGGCGTGTCGCAGCATAATACATGGTGCTCGGGGACTAGCTATGGGGGTATTAACCCCTATACCCTTATGGCTAAGCTTGGGCCGGCCCGGATCGGTGGGTCCGGTCCACCAAAAGACGACGTCTGCGGCCCGTTAACTTTGATCGGAGTCCCGCGTAAGGAGTTAAAAGACGGATTTGGCGATCAATCAAGATCCCGGTCGGTTAGAATAGGAATCCTTATCCGCCACATATGGCAATTGTAATCGACTAGGATTAGTTTCGGATCTGTAACCACGCTTTAGAACTATATAAGGCGGGCGGGGACCCTCTAAAAAACATCTCTCATTGACATACAACAATACAAATCGACGCAGGACGTAGGTATTACGCCTTCTTGGCGGTAGAACTCGGATAAAACCTTGTGTCTGCATCTTGCGTCACCGTCTTGTTTGTGGCTTAGCGCATCTGTGCCGATAATCTACTACCTTGGGTATACCCCTAGGTAGATCACCGACCATATTTAAATGCCGACACGGTGTTACCGGTCATTAAAGATGCGCTTTTGCCCTAGAAAAAAATGGCGAAGCAAATTTGAGAGGAAAAAAACCTGTTCCCGCCTCGATGCATGCGCCCACCGCAAAAAAAAGGCGTGGTTTTTTTTCCTCTCAAATTTGTTTCGCCGCTTTTTCTAGGGGCAAAATGTCTTTTTAATGACCGGTCTAACAATCAAGTAATAACGGATTTAACGGTAGTGTCAAATTAGGGATGAAAGTTGAAGTGAGTGTCAAATAGGGAACGAAGAAAATTTCAGGGTCAAGAAAGGAACGACTCATTTTTCCAGTGTCAAAGAATTCTCTCCTTATTTTTCTTGGAAACGTCGTCGTCCGGTAGAAGAAAGCCAGTGAACTGAGCCACCAGCTCCCTCCAGTGATCGTTGTCAACTATACCTGTCACTGGAAGTCTCCCAAACCGAAGGCCAAAGATAGCCTTCACGTCCTGCATGGTCAAGGTCATCTCGCCGTAAGGTAGGTAGAACGTGTGGGTCTTAGGCCTCCACCTGTTATAAGAGTAGAACGACCGTTGGTTAACTCAAATTTGTTATAAGAATGTTTACGTATAATAAAGGCACTCGCACCTGTCTACAACTGCAGTAAGTAGTGCTGGGGCAAGAGGCAGAAGACCGTAGTTGACAACACGAACAAGTTCGAGGAAGCCGGCACACCATATGTACGGCGCGTAACGTTCGTCCCACTGGTGTGCCCTGGTATGCATGCGGGGCTTCAAAGGAGTCCAGGACACCTCTGCGTCGGTGTCAGTTAAGAAGTGTGCTCGGTTTAGCCGGAACAATATTTTTCTGTCACAACAAATCAGCTGAAATAGTGTTTTTATTTGTTTTTTCAGCGAAGCGAACGGGCCCATTACGTTGTATGTATATATAAAGTACTTCATCGTGCTGGCTTTCTGCATTAAATACGTGCAGACGGGAGTACGTGTGTACCTACGTATGAGTTTCATTGGTAAATTACTGCCATAAGAAACTTTCTTTCGGCCGTACATAAATAAAAAAATGGACATCATTGCATTATTTTACCTGTGTACTCCTGTGGGCAAGCCATTGGCTTGCAAATTCAGCATTGTACCTCTTATTTAAAATAATCTATCCTATAGCTATAAAAAAAGGTACTAGAATAAAAATGTGCTGAGGCAGATAGACATTGGTGCTTGGTGTGATCACAGACTCACAGTTCATAAGTGTAGCTGAAATGTGACTTATAACAAACAGTGTGACATGTACTATTGGGCATTGTGGTAGTTTTGTACTTCCCAGAGTAGGTATCCTATGTGGCGTTGAACATGCTCCCTATAAAATATAAATATATTTCAACCTTACGAGAGTATAACATAATTTAAAAATGGTGATAGGAGGAGGTAAAAGCACGCAGCCATCAAGGCATCACATGCCACTTGGTCTCTTGACTTGAGGAAACATCCAAAAACACAATCCCCTCCCCCTTTGGATGTGTGGATCGAGTTGTGGTTGTGGGTGTGCATTGTGCTTGTGCAGAGAGCGATGTCAAGGAAGCCGCAAGTGGCTGCTCCGCATGTCAGTGTGCAGTGGTGACACTGTGACAACGTGCACAGTGACCTCTGGTGCGGCGGCAGGCAAGCCCGTTGCCGATGCTTTCAGCAGCATGCATCAGGAAAAATATTGACCACCACAGTTACCTTTTCACGTTGCAAAGTGAGCATTACACTTGTTAACCTGGTACTACTATATTTGGCGGCCTTGTAATATGATTTGTTAAAACTGTTCATCAATCAGTGCAATGTCAGACGATAATCATAGATGAAACACACGCATATATACTGACATAGCAAGGGCATAGATCAACATTGTTTCGTGATACAAAGGAAACTTTAAAAACTAAAATGGTATTGTAGATTACAGAGAAAGAGAAACAAAATTTAATTAGACCTATTTAATCTAATTCATAGGCTAAAAGAAAATCTAAACAATAACATGAGTAAAGAAGAGGAGATAAGAAGATAATCCTAAATCATAGGATGTCATTGGAGATTAGTATGAAGGGAGAACAAACAAAATACCACTAATTACCATCATTAACTAGCTAATCAGGCATGTATTGTGCAGATTAGCTAGAACTTTGTGCATGCAAAAAAACTACAACAACAAGAACAAGAACAACATAGAGGGCGAAGGTAACATGAAGATTAATCATAAATCATATTAAGTGTTATTAGAGATTAACACAAAGAGAGAGCTAGCAAATAAAACACTTTTTTAATAAGTAGCATCGTTAAATTAGCTAAATGATGAGGATTGTACTATGGGACATCCAGGAGGTTTGGGGTGCCAGGTCCTAGCCCCGCTCCATCCGCCACTAAATTGTGCTCTTGCACGGGCTAGAATCTAGAAGACATAAGCATTGATTATTGTTTAATACCCCTAACAAATAAAAAGTTACTCCCTCTGTCTAAATAAGAATACAATTCTAGAATAGTACGGGCTAGAAACATATATATGCATAATGGTTTATTTAACCTTTTTGTAATAAAAGATGCATATAGCTTAGATGTAAATTTGAGGGGATATTTAGTTTTTTTAGTAATGATAGAAGTGGTACTTTAGAAGCAACTTTAAGGGGTTACATAGATTATATATCATAATAGCATGTAGACAATTAGATGTAAATTTAGGTTTAATTTATTCCTATTTTTAATAGCACACATGGATAACTTAAATATAGATCCATGGGTTACTTTATTTTGTTTTACAAAATCGCAAAGGTAGGTTTTATTTATAAAATAGAATATATCCAATGGCTATTATTATCATTGACAATGATTAGAGTCTACGAATTAATAGACGGATATTTACGGATTTTATAAGAATTTCAAGGATTTTTTTTCAAGCGGGTCTTGTGAGGATTAACGTGGAGGCCTCGTTAGGACCTCTAATTAGAATTTTTGTAATTTACTTTTTTTTCTAGTTGCAATATGTATTCAGTTGAAACCTAAACTATATAAGCTCGTTTTACATCATTTCATTTTCTTATCAACATTTTAATATGAACCTATAGTTTATCTACCATCGCCAATATGGCAATATGTATTTTTCATAGTGATAGATGTAAGTATTTTTTTTATAAAACGTAAATAGTCTAATTGTGTATTATTTTGTGATAATGATAAGAGTCTGCTAAATTAAAGGTCATAATATTGAAAATTTTTGGAGTTTAACTTTTGTTTTCTAGTGTGTATGGTGGAAATCAACGTGTCACTGTCTAGTAATATATCTAGTAACAGTAATAAGATAAAAATAGATGTCTGGCGTTCGAAATAGAACCTGTGGAGATCAGCGCCACATAAAACTGTAGCAGTACAACTGTACAAGAGAGATACTCCCCCGTTTTCAACTCCGAGTAACAACCTCATCATTGGTTCCCACCCCTATAAAGCCGTGCGCACAGCTAGCTCTCTCTGCTCGCACGGCAACGCAGGCAGGACCGACACCACAGTGCAAGCGCACCCCAATCCTCTTGCCAAGCTAGTGCTCCATCCTTCTTTCTTCTTCCTCCTGCTCGGAGCTCTCCGCTCCTGTCCTCTGCAGCGACATTATTTCTCCTCTGGCAACAAGCAGATAATGGGGTGCAAGGCATGCCAGAAGCCCAAGGTGCAGTACCGCAAGGGCCTGTGGTCGCCGGAGGAGGACGAGAAGCTCCGCGACTACATCCTCCGCTACGGCCACGGCTGCTGGAGCGCTCTGCCCCTCAAGGCTGGTAAGAAATCGCACGCGTTAGTTCACAATCCTCCCTGAATAATTCGAAGGGGCGTTGAGCGAATTGCATTTGCGCCGAGCTCTGAATTCGCAGCGACAAGGTAGCTACGGCCCTATTTTGCAGCTGCTTGTTCCTCCTCTCGTGTTTCTCAAATGTACCTTTGCTGGCTTTTGGGAGAGGAAAGGGGGGGGGCAATTTTAGCAAAGTCTGCTGCTCAGCTCTCAGAGTCAGAGCAGGGTCGTAGCTCTTCAATTTCGCGTGCTCTTGCATGCTTGTGTTGTAACGAATCCCTTGTGATTGCGAAATGCACCTTGTTGGCGCTCGTGTGCTGAATTCTGTGTGAATTGCCACTCGTTCAGGGCTGCAGCGCAACGGCAAGAGCTGCAGGCTGCGATGGATCAACTACCTGAAGCCGGGGCTCAAGCACGGCATGTTCTCCCGGGAGGAAGAGGAGACCGTCATGAGCCTTCACGCCAAGCTGGGCAACAAGTAAGCACCGCGCACACTTTCTCAGCTTATTTTCACCTCACCTTTTAGCCTGTAGTACACTTGTACTGCTAGAAGACGATTACTGACAAGTAAGGTTTCGGTTACCAAATGGCTAGCTAAATTATGATATTAGTAGCTTCCATTTCTACCTGGCTGCTTTAGCTTTGCTACTAGTGTGTGTGCTTGGCAGTGTGGTTAATAAGCTGGAAAATCCAGTTAGTTTAGAGTAGAAAAGTGTCAATCAGTGCGAAGAAAAAGGAGGAATGCTGATGTTTAACGTGGAGACCGCTTTAAGTGGTGGAGTTGATGCTGACATCTGCGCTCCATATCGGCTATCGAGATACTCGATTGCATCTTTTCCCAGTGCTCAAATTGATGATTGTTAGCTAGCATCTCTTTCATTTGTTTAATTAATGAAAAAGAAAGTGCGCTTAGTCACGGTGAGTCCCTTTCTAGACCCGGGGAGAAAACAGAATAACTAAAGAAAAAGAAAATGGGCAAGAAAAGGAAGTGTCTGCTACTTTCTCTCTGGAGGAGGTGCTGCAGTAGTTGCTTCCTGCCCCTGTACTTTATCTTGTTCCGGTTTTATACATACACTATACAAAATTCTTGACGCAACGATTTATAAATACAAGTGTCAACTATCCAGCCCAATTGGTTTATATTATGGTATATAAATATAAAACCATTTAGTTTGACGATATGAACGAAGACCTGTAAGCTTGTTAGTACTCACGGCAAGTGGTGGTGTATTGAACTGATTCGTAATTTTATATATAATCCTATCCTACTACCCCAAAGAAAAAAAGAAAAAAGAATCAGAGGTCACGTCATGTCCAAGTATTTTTCTCCCTACAAAGTAGTATAATAGAAAGCTACGCGAGTAAACGCCGGTGATGGAGATGCCAAAAACGTGCCCGCTGACACAAGAAGTTTCATCGAGCTGTAGTTTTTGTCAGTAATTAACGTAACTTTTTTTTATGACCGACTCTCTGACACTGGAAAATTCTTGTGCCTCAGGTGGTCTCAGATCGCACGGCATCTGCCGGGCCGGACGGACAACGAGGTGAAGAACTACTGGAATTCGTACCTCAAGAAGCGTGTCGAGGGCGGCGCGCAGGGCAAGGGCGCGGCGGCGGACCCGGCGACACCCGCCCCTTCCGACGTCCACGGGAGCCCGGACCCCAGCGAGAACAACGGCCAGGGGTCCGTCGTCAGCCGGCCGGCGAACTCCGACTGGTCCGAGCCGGCGGTGGAGTCGTCCTCGGCCGACGACTCCAGCTGCCTCACCGCCACCGAGCCTGCGGGCGCGGGCGCCGCCGTGCGACCGCACGCGCCCGTGCTCCCGAAGGTCATGTTCGCGGACTGGCTGGACATGGACTACGGGACCAGCCTGGTGGCGCTGGGTCCGGACGCCGGGGTCTTCGACGTGGGCGGCCGCAGCCCGGCCCAGGGCCTGAGCCACCAGGGGTCGTCCGTGCAGGTCGACGGCCCGTACGGCGCCGTGGATTCCCTGCACGGGCTCGGCGTCGGCGGCATGTGCTGGGAGTTCGACGTGGCGGCGGATCAGTTGGACGTGCAGGGTGGAGGAGGGTTCTGCGATTTGCTCTCCATGAGCGAGTTCCTTGGGATCAACTAGGCCGTCAGAGTGTTGTTGTCTTCTTTCCAACGGTTCATCCCGAAGCATTGCGTCGAATCTGTTTCTTCCGTAGGCCAAAGTGTAAATTGTGTGCTATACCAGTGTGCAGTTAAATGTAGTATATGCAGAGCTGAGTAAAGATGTGTGAGGATTCTCCTTTCGAGTCCACTACGCGGCTGTGCTCTAACCTCAGTTGGTCGGAATTGCATGGTTTCAAGTCCAAATTTTCACCTTATGATTTGAACGAGTAGGCAAAATAAACTCTTGCTTTTTGTACGGCAATGTCACACAGAGTAAGGAACTTTAAAAAATTATAAATTTTACTTACCAAAACATAACTATAATATAAGGCCCTGTTCAGTTCCAAGGGTAAAGTTTTGGATATCAGATCAGACGTTATATGGGGGTGTCGCATAGGGTGTTTGAATACTAATAAAAAAACAAATTACAGAATCCATCAGTAAACCGCGAGACGAATTTATTAAGCCTAATTAATCCGTCATCAGCACATGTGTGTACTGTAGCACTTTGTTGTCAAATCATGGACTAATTAGGCTTAAAAGATTCGTCTCGCAAAGTAGCTGTAATCTGTGTAATTAGTTATTTTTTAGTCTATATTTAATACTCCATACATATGTACAAACATTCGATGGAATAGGGTGTAAATTTTTAGGAGAAACTAAACCAGGCCTAACTAAAAAAAATTACTAAACCAACAAACCAAGCAATGTCATCTAAAAATTTTGCTTACTCCATCTGTTTCGTAAGTTTGTCCATTCCATGTATGAAATAATATTTGACTAAGAGTTAGTAATATCAAACTGCACTGATTGGATTGATCAATATTTTCCTATCCTATAAAACTAAGCGATCTGTTTGTTTGGGCTGGTTTGTCTTATAAGCTATGGCTGAAAATACTATTGATTGGTTTAATGTGAGAGAAAAATACTGTTTATTAGTTGATAAGTCATGGCTTATAAGCCAAATACCACAGAGCGAAAGGACCGAAGAACAATACCATTTCGTAAAACTTTTTTAGGTTTTAGACCCCAAGGTAAGCAAACCAGGGCCTTGTTAGGTGGCGAAATTTTTTGAGAAATGGTACTATAGCACTTTCGTTGTTATTTGGTAATTAGTGTCCAATCATAGTCTAATTAGGCTTAAAAAATTCGTCTCGTGAATTTCGTCTAAACTGTGTAATTAGTTTTATTTTTTATTTATATTTAATGCTTCATGCATACGTCCAAAGATTTGATGTAACGGGAAATCTTGAAAAATTTTACAAAATTTTGAGAACTAAACAGGCACAAGATAACATTGTAAAAAAAACACAGATGGTACTAATTTTGATAAATCTGCCCATGATTAGGCCACATTATACACACTATACACCAGCACATTGATGTGACAGTTGTACAAAAATATCTATTAAGCTCTTGTTTAGTTGTAGGAATTTGGATTTTAGGGCTACTGTAGCACGTTCGTTTTTATTTGGCAAATAGTGTTTAAATATGGACTAATTAGGCTCAAAACGTTCGTCTCGTAATTTCCCACTAAACTGTGCAATTAGTTTATCTTTTCGTCTATATTTAATGCTCTATGCATGGGCCATAAACATTCAATGTGACAGGTACTATAGCAACTTTTTAGAAGTTGGGATAGAACTAAACACGCTGTAAAACTCATCACGGATATCGGTGACAGGTTTAAAATTTTCAACTGCGGATGCACGGTTCACAAGCAAAAGGCATTGATATTTTTTTTCCAAGTTTCAACACCAATTTTGTCTCTATTCACACACCAACAATTCATGGGTAGATGGTTTTAGTGATTGCTGAAGAATTGGAAAAAATTAAACGAATTTGATATATATATATATATATATATATATATATATATATATATATATATATGGTGTGTTTGTTCGAGGACAAGCGGATGGAATTATGACCATCATGGATTTCACGGTATGGATATCCATGTTATCAGTTTGGTTGGATGGATGTGACGGATCATTTTTCTATTTGATTGGATAGATGAGATTACATGAGACGAGAATACTTGACTAATTATATCTATTATTTAAAAATAATAACAACTAATTATACCCTAATAAATATGCACGGACACTAATCTTGTCATTAAATCACTAATTAAAAATAAAATATGTTAATTAACACTATACTACTCTAATTGTCACACAAAACATGCGCTAATCAACATATGGATATCATCATCCGCCAGATTTTTGAGGTCCAAGATATCCAGCATCTACCCAGAATATTTCCTATTATAGATATCTAGATTCAGCTTATTCATCCAACCAAATACCCTATATCCATGTTCCATCCATGGATATCATAGAACCAAACATACCCCTAAAGTACCTATCCTAGAATGAGACTTCATTCAAATTCACGGGTTATGAATTTTGTTGCGTACACATACTGCAACTTCGGGACATAATAGGCAAAAGCAGAGGAAAAAAAAACCGTACGTGCAGAGGAAGAAGGGCCATTTTGTAATTCCAACTCTGTCGTCCCAAGTTCGCCGTTGCCCTAGCCTGTCGTCTAGCTGAAGTTCGTCGCGAGCCAGTCCCACCGGCCCTCCCCTACCCACGAATTCGCCAAAACAGGGAAACACCACGGAAACCGCCCCAGAAATTTTTTCCCAATTCGAGCATCCAACACCTGATTCCTCCTGCCGAGTCGTGGTCCTCGGGTCGGATCTACCCGCTGGCCTGATTTCTCCTCGATTTGAGCGCTTCTCGCTGCGATGGATCCGCGGGCCAGGTACCCTCCCGGCATGGGAAACGGCCGCGGCGGGAACCCTAACTACTACGGCCGCGGTCCACCGCCACCGCAGCATCAGCATCACCACCAACAGCCGCCGCAGCAGCATCACCACCAGCAGCCGCGGCCACCGTCGCAGGCGCACCACCAGCAGTTCGTGCAGCGTCAGCCGCAGCCGCAGCACCACAACCAGCAACAGCAGCAGCAGCAGCAGCAGTGGCTTCGGCGCAACCAGATCGCTGGCGAGGCCGTAGGAGCCAGCGCACAGAGGGCGCCGCCTGCCGCCGACAACATCGATTCAAGGTGATAGAAGCACGTGAAATGTCTGCAACTTATTTGATATCGATACAGAAGGTTCATATTTGTGTGATTTATGGACTTGAAATTTGGTTAGGTGGCGGAATTATACCATTCGGTTTTTGTGGTAGAGTGCTCAGTGTTTGTAGTCAACTTATGGTGCTAGACAGGGGAATTATAGTGTCTGATCACAAGTTTTGTGGAAGCGTACCAAACACAACATCATTTGTCAAATAATCCAGAGATTGCTTCTTATGAAGTAATTTTGTCAATAAGATTGCGTACTGTGGCACAATTGATGGAGCATGCTGTTGTTTATATTTTGGAGAAACATGTAGATGTGAGCTTTGTTCATAGGAAAGCATGGTTCTTATTCTTTCCAGTTTAGTTTGCTTAAATGTATGTAGGGTCACCACAATGGCTTGAGACAGTAAAAGTGTATGCACTGCCGAAATGCTCCCACACAAGGGATGGGGTTTGGGGAAGGGAATTTCGAGCCAGCCTTATCCTTGCTTATTTTGCAAGGTGGCTGATTCGAACCCTGGACCACTGGCTGTGTTCACCTAAACAGTAAAAGTCACTTATTGTTTAGCCAATTAAACGGGTTACTAAACTGCAATTCAGGGGAACACTGCTTCCAGTTCACAAGTGTAGAGAGTCTACCACTGTGCCAGGTCCGCCCTTCTGACATGAGTTAGTAGTTGGGAAGTTTTTTATATGCCACTACATAGAAATGGTTTTGTTACATCGTTGCTAAAAGTAGGTGGGATCAGTACATTTTATGATTTAGTTGTTTCCTTTTGAAAATGCCTTGTGATGTAGTAGTTATAGTTGAAAGGGCAAGTATATCCTCTGGATGTGCTTCCGCTTCTTGGAGTTGTATGGAAAAATGTTTCTTGAATTAGGGACATGTGCAGTTCAATTCTTCTTGGACCTTCGTGGTATGTGCTATAGATACAGACCAGACCTCAAATTTTATCCTTTTGCAGTTCACAAGACTGGAAGGCCCAACTGAAGCTTCCACCTCCAGATACTCGCTACAGGACAGAGGTACACTTTAGAACTCCCCTCTCTCCATGTCAGTACTAGATAGTAATAACTGCTATGGACTGGTACATTTATTGATGTAGATAGCAATCTACTTATTTTTGAAAATAATTTATGTCTTCTCATGGGGTTTCTGTTTCCGATCATGAAAAACTTATAAAGTTACAGTTTAGTTATTGCAAACATGGTTCTTAACTCTTAATGTAGCAAGGCGAGGTGTGGTGACCCCGGTACGTGTCACGGTTTTAGCTCTAAGGCGTGAGATGAGGCAACACCTTACACACATATGCATCGAATAAGAGAAGTAAAAAATGGGAATGTACGTGAGCTATTACTAGTTAGTCAGCTACAGACCATTAGCCAATTAAAGCCCAATACAAGGCCTAGCAGTGCATAACCCATTGCGAGCCCTAGTTGCAATATCCTCTTGTGCCTCTGGAGTTCGTGTATCAGCTGCCGCCTGTCCCTCGTGTGCATAGCACCCTCTCAAGCATGTGCATGCCTTCTGAGAGCTCCAACAGCAGCAGCTACCTCCCATGTCAACCAATCCACAGCACCCACTGGTGCCTCCTCTCTACCCTTGAAGGTGGGTCGCAATGGGTCAGCCCAGACGGTGACCCATTCTACCCAGCCAGTCTTTGTTGGGTTTTGGGTCGATCCAATCAGTTACAACTTTTGGGTCTTTGGGTTCTGGGTTGACCTAAAAACACCAGCACTGACGGCCTCTAGATGTTATCGTCCTTGTGAGTTGAGACGCTTGCCATGTCCTCCGCTCTTCCTTGACCACTCTGGCTTGAACTTGCCACCATATTGCATGGCGCCAGACAGTGTCTTAGCATGGTCTCATCCAACTCCAAAATAATC